TTCATGCAGATTTTTATTGTGTATGTGTAACCATAAAAAAAAATTGTATTGTAAGAATTGTATGTATGTTGGCGATGTGTTTAGATGCACCGATACTCAATCTAAATCTATAGCAGATTATTTAGTATGAGATCTGCTGATACAGTTTGATTTTCTTAAAGGGATAATTCACCCTAAAATGAAGCTTTTGTCATAATTTACTCTTACTGAAGTTGTTCCAAACCTGTATGCATTTCTTTCTTCATTTGAACACAAAATAATGGTCTCAATTGACTTCCAACGTATTTATTTTCCTGTTGTTGTTTTTTTTGTAGGAAAAACCCTGCCAACCCTGGCTTGAACTATGGGCAATTCAGGTAAAAAAAATAGCTATTTTTTTGCTTTTAATGTTATTTTCGCATGAACTTCAATGGCAAAATCAAAACAAGACGTTTTCTTCACACACAGTTGAAGTCTGACAAATTTTTCTACTCCATTTTGATTGACATGATATGATCGTCTCATATGTAGATGTAGTTTATATATCTTTTTTTTATTAAAATGAAAAAAAAAAATATTGGTCAATGACTCGTAAATCCACATAAGTCAGGTTTTTAGGTAGCCTACTGGTTAAAGCTAAGTGTTGCAGACAAAAGACCCTCTCATTCACTTTTTAACTATACGCATTTGACTCACGCGCCCAGATAGCTTATTGAATTACAGCTAACATTTCAATTGACATCACATGGACCGAAAACGTTTTTTAGTCGCCCCTCTGGCTCTCAAATGCTTTCAGTTTAGTTTAGATGATAAGAGTTCACTTTAGTCTTGATTCCCAGCTGTTCTGCTAAGTCTCAGGCCTCGACTCTACAGGACACTGACTGGCTTATTGTATATGGGAGAAGTTCAATAATGTAATTATCATATGTAGTTATATGAGCTGTAATTTACTGTAGAGTAAAGAGGGTTCTGTCTGTTTTACCAAAGAAAAAAGTTTTCACTATAGCACAACTATACAGATAAATAAGTATTATGGGATATTGTAGCAAAACTTGTTACTGAACCCAAGACCAAGGATATGCAGTTCATTGGTCTAAAATATAATGTACAACATCTCTTCAATTGTATTTGTAAAAGCTAACAAAGCTATATGGGTTTGAATTATGTGGAGGGAGGAATATGAACTCTTATTGTTCAAATCAGGCTTCAAACCCACAGTATTGTTTCAGGAACTTGTATTATTATCAAAATGAACGAATCTTTTCCCGAGTCAACTCGTTCATTCTGTTCGTTGCATGAACCAAATGACACGAAAAAAGATTCTTCATTTTGATGAATGAGTTCGAACAGGAGAGTCGCGCATCTCAGAACAGAGCAAGGCGAGCATTTGTGCTTATAAAACTTCAACTTCAAATTTGTTTTTTTAAATGAGCGATCGTTTCGCTTGATAAGACCCTTATTCATCGTCTGGTGTCGTTTAAAGCCTTTGAACAGTTTGCAGTTTGTACTGAAAGTGTCTTTTGGACCTTGAACCGTTTGGTTCCCACTGAAGTCCATTATATGGAGAAAAATCCTGGAATGTTTTCATCAAAAACCTTAATTTTATTTCGACTGAAGAAAGAAAGACATGGACATCTTGGATGACATGGGGGTGAGTAAATTAACAGCAAAAGTTTTAAAGTGAACTACTCCCTTAAGTAATGGTAACAAGTGAGACCTTATTGTCAAGTGTTATCATATATATATATATATATATATATATAAATGTAGCACTTATATCTCACTCTTCCACTGCAATGTGGAGCCACCACTGAAAATGACACATTCTTCTTGACGCTTGATTTAGATTTATGTAATGGGCTAGTCTGTTAACTGTAAATCATCATAAATGAGGGGGTGAAAGCTGTAAAGTTTAGAGTAACGTTTCTGTAAACAATTACGTATTGTGCGAAAAGGCATAGGAGACAGCACAGAAGAACACACTCCATGCAGATTCTGCTATCACACAGAAATGAACTATGGAGATAAAGTGAAAAAAGAAAGATGCAGATGGAACAAATAATAGATCGAAGAAAATTCCCTAGATAATGAAAAACAGTTCTTCCCTGTTTTGGACGGGCTTTGGTTTAGTTATGTTTTATCACCCGTCTGTTTATTAAAGTTTTTCTTCTATTGACCTGAGCCAGTTTTCTCACAGAACATTTACCCTGTCATTATAGGCTTTGTCAAATTGTTTCATAGTCACATAAAATAATTTTGTTTCCTAATCCACATGTAAAAAAAAAAAATGATACCCGAGAGGTTGCCAGACAAAAATAATTGCTGAAAATAGAAAATCTATGGAACACAAAGTGCACATCAATATAGAGTTTCAAAAGACTATATGACAGCACCTTTGAACAAAGCATCAGATCATAATGGCCTGCAGATGTACATGTGGATGTTCTATATTTCCAGATTTGTGGGTTTTTAAAGAGAGTACCAGAGCAACCTTATGCTATCTTACAGATCCTTTAGATGTAGGTTTGATCTCATGCTTTGTATGTTATCCACATCACACTCGCATGTATGAAATCAGATATGCTTTTAGGTTCAAGTTCCTCATCAGATTGGAACTATTTCAGTCTTTTCTTGTATTGTTTTTTTTTTTTTTTTTTGATCTGCCATCCATCACACAAATTGTAAACCTTTTAGATGATGCACCCAAGATTCAAATTCTTGGGTTAAGTCCAACAGGAATTCTGTGGCTCAAATGCTCATGTGGGCCTTTGAGCATTTCACCAGGCAAGTCCTTACAGAAGAAGCTCCAGTTGTTGGGTCAGTCCAGAAACACTTACAGATGTGAAGCATTTCGGGAAAACGTACAACTCCAGAAACACGTGTAAAAGCCACTGATGGAATGGAAGAAGATTTATGTTGCACAGTAAAGCTGCATCAGCATCTCTAATAATCATTTCTCATACAGTAGTTTCATGTAAAGAGACTGTGGATTAGGTTTAAAGTATGAAGACTATTTTGTTGGGAGATTGTCGAACAAAATAATATAGGCTAAGATCATTGTTTACGTCTTACAATAGTGGAAGATATAAGAAACCAAGGCTAGTTTTCACACAGGATGGTTCCCTCGAGCTATAGGCTATCAATGTCTGAAACTATAGGGGCATGTTGTCACAATGGGTCTACGTATTGAATATAGATTTTTTTTGTTCTCTTCCGTTCATTGACAAATTAAATTAATTGTTCATACAATGTTCAGGATACTGACTAACGACTGTGTTATGTCAATGCAAAGATAAGGGTTTTAGTCAAACTATTGTCCCACCCACATAGCCAGGTCTCTAGCCTAGGCTAGGCTAATTTATTATCAAACAGTGTAATTTTAATTACTTCATCTGTCGACATTCCAGTGAATATAGAGCTGGTGCAAACATATCCACATCGCAATGGTCAGCGGCTGTTTTCTCACCGTTGTCATTTTTGTTGTGTATATTGTGTTATTAAGGCACATATTTAGGCTACAAAACGTCGCTGTCAGCACTGCAGCGTGGATGGAGGAGTCCGGGTTTTCGTTAAACAAAAGTATATCGCTGCAAACGGTAGGCTATTTCCAACGTTTTTTAACTATTAATTAAAGAACAAAAAAGAACTTCGCCATGAGGATAACTGGGCCTTGAATCACGGTACGCGAGCACGAGCAAGTAACTAGTCGCGTTGGAAAATGTTTTCTGAATATAGTCCCTTTGAAGTGATAGTTCACCCAAAAATGAATATTCTGACATTAATTACTTAAAACTAATCCAAATGAATTGAGCGGTTTAGTCCAAATTTTCTGAAGAGACTTTAACACTTTATATGAACAGATTTAATTTAGGCTTGTATTTACATTTAGTTGAGCAGCGATAAACAGAAGCTCAACTGAACCTGCTTAACAATGATTTGCAGATTTACAGTAACAGTTTTGTTTGTACAAAAAAAAATACTTTGTCTTAAGGAACTAACATTTAAAAATATAAAACAAAATCCCTAAAATGATTTTTTTTTTTTTTAAATCAGTAAAAAGGTAGGTCTACATCTTCAATCATTATACCAAAGGTTATGTCATTTCTAGTAAACTCAGATAGAAAACTAGTGGAAACTTAATGTGAATCGTAGCCTACATGTCATTCACGTTATGTCAATAGGGGTTGCATGCTGTCTTTTTTGTGTTTATGCCCATTTGTTTGGATATTTGTCGCCCCCCTCTGTTTATAGCGAGAACACCAATGCCATATATATCCTTTTTTGGACCTTGAAAATTACCCAGACTTATTTTTTCCCATCGATTTTCTGCGTTATAGAATAAAGCAGAGATAAATGCACATCATTTAAAGTATAGAAAGTTCAAAAAGTGGTTCAAAAGTTTGGTGTCTGCAAGATTCATTTTGAAGGAAATTAATATTTGCATTTAGCAACGATGCCCAAATGTGAGAGTAAAAGCTTTTACATTAAAATTCTATTTCAAATAAATACTTTTATTTTGACCAAATCATCTTGAAACAAGTATCACTGTTTCTGCAAAAATATTAACTGTTTCTCTAGCACCAAATTAGCATATTTAAATGATTATGGATAAAGGATCATGTGACACTGAAGACTGGAGTAATGATACTGAAAATTCAACATTGCATCACAGGAATAAATTACATTTTAAAATATATTCAAATAGAGCACCATTATATGAAATTGTAATAATGTTGCACAATATTACAGATTTTACTCTATTTTTGAATGCAGACTTGGCGAGTGTTAATTCTTTCAAAAACATAAAAAAAAGTACAGACAAACACTAGTGTACATGCAGCAATTAATTAAAATATTATTTATTGCTAAATATTATTTATTATGAATTTATTGTTTGTGTATATTTAAATTATGTATTAAGTATTGCTGTGTTGTTATTGAGAAGCGAGTCTCTCTCTTGTGTATCAGTAATTCCATTCTGCTTCACATCCGTTTGGTTGAGGAGAAAAAAAAATCCAGACTACGAGTAATTTTGTTTATTCAGGCTCTAAGAAAGACGTCTTCACATTTTATGGCAGTTGTGTTACAAATAACACTATAATTCATATCTTAACTTTCTGTGAAAGTAGCAAAGGGAATCAGCTTTTATTGCAATTAACTTTAGAAACTGTATGCCGTTTTTTAAAAATACACTAATAGAAAAACAAGGTTGTGTTGCTGGTGGTTATTTATCTCAAGTTTAAATAAAAAATACATAAGATGATACCCATATACAAGTCACCCTCTTTTTTCCCCTTCTAGTTTTTAAGTAAAGGGTTTGTATGTTACACTTTGTTAATGATTTCAGCAGAACACTATACCATGCTGCCATTAAGTTTGGTCCACTCAAAAATGTCCTGCTCACACACAATGTCTGAATTGATGAGCAAGTAGCGGTCTCCCACGCAGAAGTGTTTCTGACAGGCAGCGCATTTGAAGCATTCCAGGTGATAGACTTTGTCACGGACACGCATGGTCATTTCAAAGGCCCGGATCCTCTTTTCACATGAAGCACAGAGCCCGTCCTGACCAAACAGTCTGCAGAGAACAAAACACACGTATTCACACACTCGAAAGGTAGTAGGTAGTCACATACCAACTATTCATGATGAATTAAAGTAATACTGTTTGTGTATAACAGGGCGAGGGATTGTTTTGCACATTTTTCAACATTCACGAAAGTTTGCCAAGTGACATGTTTCTGGATCAACAACTTTGTTCATCCTGAAATAACATTCCTGTCCAAAAGCACCTACCCCTAAACCTAACATAAGTTGGAAAGTTATAGGTGAATATGAATGATGTAGCAGCCCTGACCTGAGCCAAAACTTAACATTAAAGGGATAGTTCACTCAAAAATAAAAATCTCATTAATTAGTCACTCCAACCCATGCAGATCAAATTTATATGAAGATCTTTATGATGAAATTTGAGAGCTTTCTGTCCCTCTGTTGACAGCTACCCCTTTGACACTTTATGCATTCATGTAGAGATCATAAAACTCTTCCATAGTATTATGAAGTCAATGGGGTCCATCAACTGTTTGGTTACCCATATTCTTCAAAATATCTTATTTTGTGGTAACTTCAGCAGAAGAAAGAAACTCATACGGGTTTATAACATCATGAGGGTGAGTAAATGACAGAATTGTTTTTTGGGTGAACTATCCCTTTAAATACTTAAAGGAGTAGTTCACGTTTTTTTTAAAAAACATTTGCTGATTAAAATAGCTTCACCCTGCTTCTTACAACAACAACGTCAAAGCAATTAAAGTGATTAATATACGTATGCTCATCCTTGAACATTTTCACATAATATAATATAATTTCACATAAATAATAGTTTCACAAATGTAAGATGCTGATATATAAAGTATACTCTATGTATTTATATTGCATTAGAATACGCTTTGGAATTGATAAATGTATAATGTATATCTGTTGGTAAACTGATCTTTATGTACCCTCTCATTCTTTTTATTTTTTTTATTTTAATTATTTTATTTTTATTTTATTTATTTTCTGTTCTTGTTGAGGCATGTGAAATATGTTGTATGAGAAATTACAATGTACATGCTACTTGATGTTCACAATAAAGCATTAAAAAAACAAAACAAAAAAAATCAACAACAACAACGTCTCTTCTCTAATGACGTATTTATTGACGTGAGTGCGGGGCAACCGGTCACGTACATGAAATCAACCAATAGCAAACCACGACAACCATCCAATCAATTCCCGTCCTACATTGTTACTTGTTTGAGAAGCCTGATATATCGCAACTTCAGTTTCATGCCGACTTGCACGTCTTACCTGAGGTAGTCTCTCCTACACAGCTTCCTGCCAAGTTTGAAGTAAAGCCTGCGTCCCACCTCCCCTAAGCGGCAGCCGCAGAGGTCACAGCTCAGGCAGTCTTCGTGCCAGTACTGCTCGATGGCCTTGAGGAAGAACCGGTCCCCGATGCTTTGCTGACAGCCGCCACAGGTCAACAGAGACGGCGGCATCTGAAGCACCTCATCCACGGGTTCCCTGTGGATCAAACATGCGATGCGCCATTATGAACACCAGATGTCACTAGTGAGTAGACTACTTTTTTTTTTTTATAAACACTAAAAACATTCCGGTTAGTATATGCGTTTTCCAAACAGATAAAAATGGCAAGCAGATGCTCTACTTTTTATTTTTATTTTAGATGTACCTACAGTTGTTTTATAAATAACCGTTTGCCTAAGCTGTAACCACTGACACGTGATCCCAGGGGAGAAAAGTGTTTAGTGCAGCAGGCAAATGTGGTGCTTTGGGTCACTGCACATTTAAATCAGCACATATTCCCACTGGTTAACATTTGTGACTAAATGTTTAAAATGAATTCCTGAGGTATTTTATACAGAATTATTATGCATAAGCAAAAGTGCAGATTGTTTTGATTTAGTGTGAAAGTTTTTACTAATCACATGACCAGAGGCGTTTGAGGATAAGTCTGTCAAAGCTTTATTAAAGGAAAACACAGTACAATCTGTGTGCTGTGTACATCACAGAAAACTTTATGTATTTTTACAAACATCACTTAGAATGATTTAGAAGCTGTTTTCCTAATATGGGGACCAAAAAATATCCCATCAAGGTCAAGGATTTTTGAATATTGATTTTTGAATATCTTTTTTGGGACATTTTGGAATTTTTTCCCATAATGTAGGGTTTATAGGCCACACACACACACACACACACACACAACATTGTGGATGTCTATTTACAGTCTGCATAATACAACATAGGGTAAGTCAGGGTAAGATGAGCCACCCACCTTAATATTTACCATCAATTTTGTCATTTCATTTAAAGATTTAGTTAATTGATCTAATTTTGTATCTCTGGAAAATAGTGATATATGACTATTATGTTGAATATCAAAGTTTGTGGGTGTATTTGTTAATGAAGGATTTGTGGACACATTCATGTTTCAGATTGGTTTAGTAAAAGTTATTTATTTTGAAGTAAAAAATATCAAATTTGACGCTTGGGGTAAGATGAGCCACCCAGATCTGTCACTGCCAAGTGGCGTGTTGTTAGTGTCATTATTTTTAAATGTAATTAATCGGGTTATTATAAAGTATTTCCCATGAACTATACATTTCAGACATCTATGCTTTCGAAAAATAAAATCTTAAAGTTAATGAGGGAAATCATTCAATTTGAATTTATGTTGTTATTATGACATATCTTCGATTAAAATATGGGTAATTAAACATGTAAATATTCACATGCCTATATCACAGAATCATTTTAACTTTCAGATTATGCTTTGACACTGGTTATTACTTAATTAGCTAAAATTACATTCTTAATTATAGTTTTTTTATTTAAATTAGAAAAGTTAAATGTATTTTACATTAGACTATTGATAGTATATGATATATATGATTTAGTAAGAATAATTATATCAGAAGTAGGCTAATTTATACATACTGTAAAAGTTTAGCCAGGGAATAATTATACATTCTGTTCTATAACAACTATATTAGCAAATGTGTATTTATTTCCACATTGGATGATGCATCATCATCCTGCATGCTAAACTTATATCTAAATAGCCTGTTACAGGTTAAAAACATTATTCTTAAGGGGAGTTACCCTAATGTAGAGCTTATTTTAGTTGTCTAATTGTTGTTTAGCTATATATCATACAAAATTATATATGGAAACTAAACAATAAGATTAAATTCTGACTTACTCATTCGCATCCAGTGTTTTCCGTTCAATTGTAGATGCCATATTAAATATGGTTCAGGAATAATTCAGTTCATTAAATAGATACGCGCGCTTTCCAGCCTATGTCCCACACTCGCAGTCTGCGCTGCAGAAACACCATCAACGTCCAGCTGGATGACCGCTTCAGAGATGCACCTGCTCGCTGCCTTCTGTGTGCACTAAACATCAACAGCAATAGCACACATTATACGTGCACCCTGTCTAGCTTCTTCGGCTGCACATCAGATCGGTCTCCAAGCATGCAATCCTCATGCTGATGTTGTTTTAGAATAATACGCGTTCACAATTCCTCCAGTGACACTGCGTGATAAATATCGCGTTTGCGTCAAGCGTGTCTCCTCTGCGCTGCAAGTCCTCAGCACTGTCCCATAAGACCGCTGTCTGGTCCCGTTATTGTAGCGGAGCAGGTATTTTTAAATGGCCCTGCCCCCTCAGTTTCTGCTTTCTTTTCCGACTTCCTGCTCACGACGGCTCGACAATGAGAGGAAATAGCGCTCCGGCGCGCGCGACAGTCAATTATAAACCCGAGGACTCGTGACTGGAGGGGTCACGAGCGCAAACTCCTCGTCAATATATATAGGCCTACCTGTGATCTGAACAATAAAGAGATTTGGGGACAGCTCAGCTGGAAACACACCGCTAATTAACATCAGGGTGATAATGTTGACCAAAAGGACACGGCTCCAACATAATAGCCTAGCTATAATAAAGGGAGACCGGGGCTAGTTGTCACAAGGTTGCGTATCAGTAATAAAATGCAACTCAGATGTAAACTGGAAGACCAGAACTCAATTCAGTTGAATTATTTTCTCCAAGCTATTATAATATAATTAGCAGCACACATTCAAGCTTGAGACAAGTTATCATGCTTCACATAGGCATTTATATAGCTATAGCTATATATATTATATATATGAAGAGTTCAGATGCAAAAGCCTCTAAATGCCATTTGAAATTTTCCTCTTTAATGATGATTTTTATCAAACTTGTATATTTAAGTTCAGTAATTTCACTTAAATAACAATTAATAGGTAATTATCATTGCCATTTAAGTGAAATCACTGAACTTAAATATACAAGCTTGATAAAAATGATCATTCTTGAAGAAAATTTCAAATGGCACTTAGAGGCTTTTGCATCTGAACTCTTCATATATAAAATGTTTGCTGTTTATTTGTTTCATTATTGTTTAAATATGTTTACAATTGTAATTGATTTTTTTTGTTGTTGTTTTTTTTGTTGAAAAGCATATAATCACATTCTGTAATTGCAGTAACAGGCGCAGCAAATGAAGCGTTTACTTGTGATGTATCTCAAGCTCAGGCTCATCTCTGCTGGATGTCGTTGGGGTAAACTCCCCTTATCTCCTGCCAGAGCTGCTCGGGCAGTGTCAGCGGCGGGACTGGCCCACGAGATAAAACGCGGTTGGGACACTGAATGGGTCCCAGACAACATCAGTGATTAGTTGCAGCAGCTCGGCCAGAAGATGTGCCAGTTATAGCAGAGGGAATGGAGGTCAGTGATCCCTTCAGCTATGATTTTACTCTTCTGACTTACAGCTTAAGCATATCTAATCATATAATTATGGGAGACAATATTTTAGTGTTCAAAATCTTTCTTTTTTTTCCATGAGTTTTTGTTCACTACACATTTAAAGGAGTAGATCACTTTAAAAAAAACAAACTTTTGCTGATAATTTACTCATCCCCATGTCATCCAAGATGTCCATGTCTTTCTTTCTTCAGTCGAATGAATGATTCCAGACGATGAATAAGGGTCTTATCAAGCGAAACGATCGCTCATTTAAAAAAATAATAATAAACTTTAAGTTTTATAAGCTCAAATGGTCGCCTTGCTCTGTTCTGTGATGCACGTTCGTGACTCCTATTTGAACTCTTTATCAAAATGAACAAATCTTTTCTAGAGTCAACTCGTTCATTTCGTTCGTTGAATGAACCAAATGACTCGAAAAAAGATTCGTTAATTTTGATGAACGAGTTCGAACAGGAGAGTCACGAACATGCATCACAGAACAGAGCAAGGCGACCATTTGAGCTTATAAAATTTTAACTTTTTTTTAAATGAGCAATAGTTTTACTTAATAAGACCCTTATTCATTGTCTGAAATCATTTAAAGCCCTTTGAACAGTTTGCAGTTTGCACTGAAAGTGTCTTTTGGACCTTGAACCGTTTGGTTCCCAATGAAGTCCATTAAAAATCCTGGAATGTTTTCATCAAAAACCTTAATTTCTTTTCGACTGAAGAAAGAATGACATGGACATCTTGGATGACATGGGGGTGAGTAAATTATCAGCAAAAGGTTTTTTAAAAGTGAACTACTCCTTTAAGTTCAATGTTCTGTGATGCATGGATCCAAATGCAAATAAATAACCTTATTTTAAGATTGTGTACACACACACACACACACACACACACACACATATACCCTATATATTTTTGTCTTCCTTTTATAGTATAATTATAGTTACTATACAATTTTTAGGGATACAGATTACACAAGAATACAGATGTTTCCACATTTTAAACATTTACTAAAAACGACAGTTTTTTTTTTTTATGTATAACTGTTAAACATTGTGTGTAAGGCATCCACAGTTTCCTGTGGATTGGACACAGCAAACCCAGAGGATGTACAGGAAATGAGCACAGATGAAGCATGACAGGGGTGGTATGAGCCATGACTGCTTTCACTTGATCACCCTGCCGGACTCTGATTGGTTGGATAACTCCAGATGGCCCCCCTGATAGGGGAAGGGGTTTTGAGACCATGCCTCGGAAACCACTGACTGTCAACTCATCTACTTGGCAGGAAAAGCTTTCTTAACTCAGAGTAAGTTTCCTTTAAAAATGGTTAAGGATGAAGTGAACTTATCAACATGGGTAATGGCATCTGGAAGATATGTTATTAGCTATTTTATAAAAATTATGCATGTCATGCATGCAATTTTTCCTTCGTGCAAAGAGAACCATGAAAATCTGAGAGACACAGAAAAATGTTTAAATAAAGTGAGACCATGACTGAAATAAATTTAAAATGAGTTCAAATGTTTTATGCATGCAATAAAAAAATAAATAAAAACAATTAGGCTACATTTGCATGTCCCAAATTATATGACACAGAATCAAACGACCAAAATTTAGCTCTTACTGACATTAAAATTCAAATGTGAAATGGGGGAAAAAATAGTTGAAAATATTTACTGTAAATAATGTGGTGGGATGAATGGATATTTTCTATTTTGCCCTGACCTTGTTACATTCAACTCATAATTAATGCAGCAACACGTTTATATTTTGTGGGTTTTTCCTTTTTAAATATACGTTTATTACAAGGGACACTAAGGGAAACTCCACTCAATTCAAAGTTTGAGTACATGCATTTCCAGCACTGGTGCGGTATTGAAATGATAGCTTATAGATAAATGACTGTTTACACTTTGCAAGGGTGTAACCACATATTTAGATTTGGGACTTTTATGATCATGATTAGAAATGTGAATATTAGGGGACATTAATCCCCTATAGTGGCCTCCCATTGTCTGTATGGTGGTATTTTGAGCCTGGATTTATTTCAAGTTTTATTTAAAAGACTGCCTTTTGGCATACTGAAGAAAACAATCATTTTTAAAAAAAATTTTTTATTAATATCAACCACTTTTTATAGCATAAAATCAAATGCGATTTGATTTATCCCTGTAACTTTCAACCCAGAATTAAAGTCAAAAGTTGGTTGTTGCACAAGACATGTTTTGAAAAAGATATTTCATCATGGATTATTCCTTTTTCAAAAAAATATCTGCTTTTATTACAAAAAAAAAATCACACTGAGGGTTACCAGAATTCACTTAAGTCAATGTTGACACGAATTCCAAACCTACTATGACAGTGTTGAAATAATGTAGCTATAGTGTTAGTAATGATAAAAAACTATTGATGATCATTTGCAAGGCTAGGATTTAGGAACCAGCAACAGATAGTTCATAATGAATAACCAGAATTGAGAATATTAGAGTCCTAGTACTATGTGCCAGCAAGAGTTGACTGATTTATTTAAGCCCAGCCCTAATAGGAAATGCCATTGGACTGACTGATTCTTGCCGTGTTACATGCCTTGTCTCAATAACAAAAACTCTTACTGTATGTGTATGACATGCTCTGTTTTAAGTAGGGACCACCTTTGGAATTCTGGGAACATGATCCATCACAGGCAGAGTAATCACATATGGCGTATTTCCTGAGAGAGAGAGCCTGGATGTGTTGTTGACTCTCTGATAGTGTATATTCTGGAACAGCAATAGCCAGGCTACTGCTTCCTGCCCAATCTCAGCTTTTGTTGGCTTGTTTTTGAGAAGCTTGTGTGTGAACACTCTTATTTGGACATTTGCTGTGACTAAAAGTGATCAGTTCTTTTTGTTGTAAACTTAGGATGCTGATCAGTGATAAAGGAGATGCTCATGTGTCACTGAAAGAGGTATTAAAGGACTTTAAATGTTTAAGTCGAGGACTGCTGCTGCTGTTACTAAACACAACAGAGAGCGGAAATGAGTCACTCGTTGAAAGGGAGCTTCATTCTCCCATGAGATCTTCCTCTAATCAGTATTATTCCTGAAAGAAAACACCCTTTCAATAGAACAGCGCTATCAAAGAGCAGAGCAACCATGTTAACTGCTTCCTGTATTTGCCAAACAAAACCTCATGCCATTGCATCCTCATTGTTTTAGTCTACAACATTTGAGTTTTACAGAAAGAAAACGATAATAAGCTAAATAAAATGATTCAATAATTTGCACGAAAAACTATATCTGCAATATGAATTTCTTGTAAAGAATGTGTTACATTCTTTACTAGAAATTCATATTGTACAAGTTGCAACCCTTCTTGTAATAAAAATGCTTAAAAAGCTTAAAAATATATCTAGCATGATTCAATAGCCGTATTATGCAATTACATATGCTCAACCCAATACAAATAAACAAGTTGTGAATGGTTAAATATTAAACATTAATGTGAAGGTTTGGTCTTCCTGTTTAGATGGTGGCTGAAAAGAAAGTTCGAGTGACTGCATTTAGGCTACCTGAATATATCTGGTGCCATCTGCTGACCGATCATTTGATTTACAATAAATGAATGTGGTCTAATGATTTAACAAAATTTGTTTGGTTCATTTTTAAAGAGTTCGTTCAAACAAATGAAAATCATGTCATCGTTTAGCACACTCTCCAGTTGTTCCAAACCTGTATGAATTTCTTTCTTCCGCTTAACACAAAAGACGCTATTTTTTAAGAATGTCGGACGGTAACCAAACAGTTATTGGTCCCCATTCATTTCCATAGTATTTTCAACCATTCTATGGAAGTCATGGTGTCTGGTTACCCACATATTTCCTTTTGGGTTCTGCAGAGAACGAAATTCATACAGGTTTGGAACAAATTCAGGGTGAGTAATGAAGACAGAGTTTTATTTTTTATTTTTTTTTTAACTATCCCTTTAAATGGGGTCTTCTAATTATGTAACGTAGAATTTGTTTTGGTTGTTTAAGAGACTAAACCCAGTAAAGAGTTGTGGAAGCCAAGGGGTGGTGATTTAGCAAGATGTTAGCAATACTTGTTTACCAGCGAAATAAAATAATACACAGTCCCACAATATAATACAGCCATTTCAGCTTTGTTTTTATCTAATTCAACTATGTTTTTTTTTAAGTCAGCCAGTTCGTCTGGGTTCGTTTTCACACGCGCTCAGTGACAAATGCATATTAGGAGGTCACCGCGTGCCTGCTTTTGAACTGAATAAATTCTTAGTGTTTTCTATCATTTCACGAATATTGCTTATACCTGTCATGAATTATATTTATTTTTAAGTCGTTGTTTATTGATTACTCGCAGTAATCGTAATGATAAGCTGCATATAAACTTAATTTAACCACAGGCAAAATCGCCGTCGCCTCTAAAAGGGGCCCTTCTTCATTATAAACCTTTTTCTCTCCTTTCAGTCGCTCTCAGTTGTCGGTGAGGCCGGCGGGGCGGATCCCATTGTAAATTAGAAGAGAAAATAAAAGCAAACACAATCAACGCTTCGGCTTATTTGACTCCAGACTAATTGTTTTATTCCCTTGTGGACATATTGCGCATAAAGGTGAGAACATATATGGACTTAAATCACTGACGTGAACGACGTTATACAGTCCGAGGATGATCTGCTGGACAGTGTCTGTGTGTTATGCGGACAATGGGTTGCTATGACAATATTTTGGAATTTAGTCTACTTTTATGTTTATATTTAACGAGTTTGATTTATTATATTAAAAAACAAAACAAATATGGTCTATTTAGATAGGATTGTATTAATCCTACTGTCCAGTCATGACCAGCTGAAAAATCTCGTCTGTTTTCGTTATCTAATTATGAGTATGAATTGAATATAACGTTATGATTACCCAAATATATATATTATTTTGTTACTGTCTAATTGGTATAACAATTTGGTCAGTCTGATCAAAAATGCGATATATGATCTAATCGAAAATTAAACCATCGTCGATTACACATGAATTATGATCCTCTCATTGCCATTCAAACAGGCTGTTTCCAGCATATAATTCAGTCGCGTTGTTATTGGTTTGTTCAGAATTTTAAATCTGTCCTTTATCTATGATTAGATGCCCTCGGCAACAAATGGCACCAGGACTGTGAAGTCTGCCAGCCCAGACTTGGGATCCGCTCCCGGATCAATGAACCAAATCACAGCCAGCAACCAGCTGACTGGAACCCAGTCCGAGGCCATGAAGCAGGTGCTGGTGGTTCTCGAAAAGAAAGTGCGCAATATGGAGAAGAAAAAGGTACCAGTTTCCCTTTCAAGTCTACATCATGTCAACCCAAGCACATACCCACATATATAAATTATTGGATGTTTAATAAAACGCATAGACACAAATGTGATGGACACATCAATGGTGTGAACTATTACTTAACTTACTTAAGTTAAATGACAATAAATAGGTTTCGGTTGTTCTATTTCAATGTCAATAATGTATTATACACCGTCTCCAACGCGGTTAACCAGGCCCATTTAACGTTTATGAAACCATTACGCTAGTACTTGTATGTATTTAAATCAGTTCATGTGAAACTATATCTTAAATATAAGTTATAGGTAATGTTACGTTTAAAAAATGTTGCCCCTTTCACTGTTTTTTGTCGTCGAGCACGGATGCTAACCGGCTAGTGTTCGTAGTTTTGGCACATGCTAGCCACTCAAACGTTATTGCAGTTCTCTCGACAAATGTTATGTACATGGTTACTTGTTTACATTGTCTATACGTTCCGTGATATGACGCAAAGTTATTTCCTGCAGGTTTTATCAGTTGTTCTGATCACTGCGTTTCGCACGCACATGGAGGTAAAGCTAACATGGCGTCGGTTCGGCGTGCAATAAAAAAAAAAAAAAGGGAACTGTCGGCGCAAAGATGCATGTTAAGTTGTTTATGTTTTGGATGGTCTCAGGCTTGTGTTTGTGGAGATTAGCGGGTCACAGACAGGTGTGTCCTCGGGACATGCAGCCTTTGGATCCTGCGGGTTTCTGAGCCAAGTTTGCAGGAGAGACTTTAAACGTCGAGACAGGGCAGCATATTGCTTTATTTAACTTATTTTTTTAATGATATTTAGTTAGAGTAAAAGAGGAATTTAAGCACCCAAATGTTGTTCAAACCTGTTCAGTGGAACACAAAAGTAGATTTTTAAAGACCCCATGAAATCAAAATGTAAGGTTTTTGGCCTTTTAGTGTAAATATGTTTAGAGCACACTAGCTTATAGCAACACTGACAAAATTCGCATTTAGATGTTAGCATTCAAAACGTGGAATCTAAAGTGTCTCGCCCCTTGCATTATAAATAGATGCTGAAGCTGTGGCCAAAATCGATAGCCTGGGAAAACTCAGAGCAAATCTAAATTTGCCGGAAGTTAGTCTCATTCAGCCCATTTCCAATCCGTCGAAATCGCGGCACCAATCAGAAACGTTGGGGCGGCTTTACACGATGATGACAGCGCTTGGGATTTTGAAGCAGATTTTGTAGCCTACATTACAAAGATGGATGCTGCCGCCGAACATCACTCGTTCGAATCGGCTGTTGCCAGACCATAACTCAGTTACAACTAAGAATGGATTGGTTTTAACCAGGCTACAAAATCCTCCACTGTCCTCCAGTTTCAGTGAAAATGACGTCAACGCATTGAATAATGCGGCGTGTTTCAAGCCACTTCAGTGGGCCTTTATGGAAAAAAATCACGACTGTCATCATGCCTTGAAGTGTATTTTGACTGTCATAGTTATTTTATTTATTAACCTGCACTTATGGGCACCTGTCATTAAATTGTGATGTTTTGATTTATCCGTTCTGATTCCGACATTGTGCGTTTGTGGAAAGTGAACTTGACCTCTCCCATGGACCCGGTGAAATGGGATAATCTCCTCGTAACTCGACCACATGCTGCAGCTTTGTGGAGTAAAGTCCTCTGTCTTGATCCATGTTAAATAGACAATTTGATAATTGCAAGATTGCAAAAATGGTATGTGCACAACTGTTCAAAAGTTTGGGGTTCCTAAGTTTTTATTTTTTATAAATTAATACTTTTATTCTGCAAGGATGCATTGAATTGATCAAAAACAGTAAAGATATACATTTACGTGCATACACACAGAACTTTATTTTTCAAGTGTTATTATATTTCCGTTTTACTTGTCGTCTTGCAGAGCAAACTTGATGATTATCAGGCCAGGAACAGCAAAGGGGAACGTCTCAACCAGGACCAGCTGGTAAGTTAACAAAGCAAGCATGTTTTGTTGTCCCTCAGTTGTTTTTCAGATTTCCTCAAATCTGCTCTTTTTCTTAATCACTTTAGGAAGCCCTGTCTAAGTACCAGGAGGTATTCCATAACCTTGAGTTTGCACGGGAGCTGCAGAAGAGCTTTTTGGCATTGGGTCAAGAAGTGAGTACATGAAAATTGAATTTGCTCTCTTCATATTCTGTGGTACCAATGTTTATTCACTGGAATTATCACTTTTTACAGCATGAGTCAGTTACTGATGCTTTGTTTTTTAGTACATGCTGATACCAAGTGCCAATAACTGCATTTTCATTGCATTTTTAAAAATATTGGACAGGGATAACAAAATAATATGAATTAAATTGGTTGGCTTAGCAAATAGAAATGTCCTAATTATGCCTGTTAAAATGCATCGTAGGAGATGCTGTTACTTTCACTGGTAATATGATTGCTCAATCATATTTTATCTTTAATTTAATACTATGACCCAGTGAATATTTAGAGCTGCTCTTCTTTATTTTTATTTGGTGCTTCGGATGTTTGCACACGGAAAACTTATTGAAATATTGACGTGATTACTGTACTGCCTTCCTTTAATAATGTAAGGAGTCACTCATTATACGTAAATCATCTAACAGTCCATGTTGTTGCATACATATGGATATACGGGGTGGTGATGGCGCAGTGGATAAGGCATGGACACATGCCTTTGGTGTGAGAGACCCGGGTTCGAATCCACTGTGAGACACCAATGTGTCCCTGAGCAAGACACTTAACCCCTAGTTGCTCCAGAGGTGTGCGACCTCTGACATATATAGCAATTGTAAGTCACTTTGGATAAAAGCGTCAGCTAAATCAATAAATGTAAATGTAAACATATACGATTTAGTTTTAATTGAAATGGCGCATATGTGCAAAGTGAACGATCAGCAATTAATAGCATGCAACAGATCTCTCTCTCTCTCTTTGCCATCAGTTGGCATTGGTAATTCACCTTTGGCTAAGCCCCACCCCTCTTAGTTACTGTTGCTACATCTGTCAAACAGCTCTTCCTGCTGAAATGTTATCAAACTTTTATAAAGCAGCAAATAAAGTGTCCGATAGAAGTAGACAAAAGGGGCTGCAATATGCGTTCGAAGGCTATATTCAAGACATACAGGTGAAACGCAAGAAACAACAAGGCATCCAAAATA